CGCCTTCAGGACAGGGGTCTGGGTGGCCCCTGATAGCACGGATGACACACGGGCCCACAGGTGCAGCCGGACAGCTGGGGACCGGCTGCGGGGTGGGGCCTCCTTAGAAAGAGTCACATGTACTCACAGCAGAAAGGTGCCGCTACAAGGAGTTTCCACACATGTTAGTCTCATGGCCACACCCTGTCCTCCCTGAGAACGCCTCCAGCTTCCAGCCTGGCCCTGGTTCCTCCCCCTGCCCTCTGGCCCCTGGGGCCTCCCCCTGGGGCCTCCCCGCTGGTGCTGGGATGAGGGGTGGGAGGTGTGGTGGCAGGAGCGGCCCTGCTGGTAGCACTCAGCTCCAGAAGCTGCCACCTGCTGCTTTGAGAATCATTATCCAAAACAGCAAGATTATGGTTCATCCAAAAGTGACCCCAGATAAACAGCAATCGCCCTTCTCCCCGCCAAGCAGAGGCCAAGAGAAGGCACCACGAGCCTCGGACCCGGGACGCTAAAGCCCTGAGCGCTGCCTGTGCCATCGCGGGAATCTGGCGTAATCATGAAACTCGGTCACAGCGTCTGACCGATTACTAAAAGTTTTTGGTCAAAAAGTATACAAATTGGTTCCCACTCCCTCCCCCACGTTTGGTTTTGTGTGTTTCCAGATGTCTGTAAGGCAGCATGTGAGTATGTGGGCCTGAATGCCTCCTTCCAGGGGGGATCGTCCCGCGCGTCATCCGTGTAACAGCTACTTAAACATGTCAGGATCCATTTAAGTTCAGACAAGCACGACTAACACCCACGGCAGTTCTTCAGAACTGTAATGACTAGATCTGGGTGATACTTAGTAAATTTGTGCTTATGTTTTTTTCTGAGCAAATGAACTGAAATAATTATAAAATTGAAACATTTTATAAGGTGACACTGCTGCATTTAATTGTATGAAATTTACTGGGGAGAAAATGTAATCATTTTATTCAGTAGTCCATGGTGTAATTAAGACTATTCTTTAGAGGTATCTTGTATTGATGATCTTCCCTTCCACCTGGATGAGACATCTCAAATTCAAAATTATACACCAATTAGGTGTCCTCCCAGGATTCGTCTAAGGAGCCTGTTTTCCCACACCACGCGCAGCCCCGCTTTGCTTACCCGCGGGGATGCGTCTGCAGTCAGAGCGCAGAGAAGCTGCCCAGGCGCCGGCGGTGCCCTGGCTTCTCCCGTTTTATCCAGAAGGGACCCGGGCTGAGCCTGGGCTGCCTGATGCGATGCTCGGGGAGCAGCGGGCCATGCGCAGCGCGGGCCCTGAAAGCCCCTCACGCACCCGTGACCGTGACCGCTGGCGCGGGAGGTGCTTTACAAATCTGCAGGTGCGAGGCTTTCTGTCTTGTGTAAATGGGGCGATGCATATGAATAATAGATATTAGCAATTGAGCACCCATTCCCCTGCTCTCCGTTATGCATTTGAAAGAAATTAGCCACACGCAGGCATGGAGGTGGATGCGGCTCCTCTCCCCCTGCTGCTTCCCCTGCTGCTTCTGGAAGGTTTCTGTACTCTCTCAGCACCACGGTGACCCCGCTCCCAGGGCGGCATCCTTGGATTAACTGTGATGACAACTCTACAATGAAGCGAGTCCGACTGAACCCTTGACTTCCTTGGTGTTTGTGCCCTAGGGTAAGGGGAGTGTTTCTAAGTCACTATTTGTGGACCTTGCCTGGGTTTTCTACCCGTTCACCAGGGCCCACAGCCTCTTACCTTGCAGGGAGGGTTTTCGCTGGGGAAAGGAGGGCTGCGCTAGCGGCTATTGTGTTGGCCTTAAACCAGAATGTCCTGGTCACACTGGCCTGAGCGAGGCCTCAAGAAGCAGCCTGATGAGGTCCCCAGGACCCTCCTTCACGCTTTTAAAGAAAGGGAGCAGGTATGTCCCCGCCGGCAGTCATGTGGGCCCTTCCTGAGAGTGTGAGCTCAGGCACCATGCTAGCCACGTGGCCTTCTCCTTCTCCTCTCCCGCCCCCTGACAGGCAGACCAGAGAGGCCTGGCGCTGCACCGTGCTACCCAGTGTGCATGGGCACCAGGGCGGTGTCTAATTCTGGGGTCACACGGCCAAGACCCGTTACAAGTAAGATCCTCGCATCCCTGACACTAGCTGATGCAATGCGGAGACCTCTCCTGTGTTGCCTGTTTTCTTGTTTGGCATCAAACTAAAAAAGCCAGAAACTTAGGCATCACCTTGGACTTGAGGTCATAAGCTGGCAGTCCGCAGGCCAATGTCGGCCCAAAGCTGCTGGCTGTGTGGGGCTTTGTAAGGGACACAGAGGTTCCAGGTAACACTAAGCTGGCAGCGTCGCCTCCACAGCCTCGCCCCCCTGTCACTGCCTTCCAGTTCTCGCCATCGTTCCCAGCGTCTCCTGGTGACCAGGCAGCTGGCCTGTAGCTTCTGGTCTAAAGCATCCATGACAACATTTGTACAAGACACCACATATATGACATGTTAGAATCTTCTCCTCCCTTAGTCTCTAAAACTGTAATCATCATACAAGCAAAACCTGCACCTCTGGTTTGTGACAGGGTCCGTGCTGGTTGCTGTATTCGTGTGATTTCAGTTCTTCTTCAAAAAGCTCTGCGGGGTGGTACAGGCCCCATCATCACCCAGGGGCTGAGATTCAGTTGGCAACAAACAAACAAACAGACAAACAGTTTTGCAGTTAAAAACTTCAGAGCCAGGCGTTAAACTGATGTGATTCCAAATTCCTCTTATATAGGCTTTGTTTTAATTTTGTTTTCTTATTTGTAAAAAGTAAATATGAATTTAAATACAGATCAGAAACTATACCCGTTTGAATTTTCCTCTGAGAAACTCCTTCTAGCTTTCTTTAAACACAAATGTAAATGTAAACTCCTTCTAGCTATTTTAAACACAAAATCCTTAAAAGGTTTATGTCTCCTGTACAGGCCACTGCATGGTTATCCTGAGTGAAGTTATTGTGTCTTGGTGCAGTCTGTGACTTTGAACTTGACTATCCTGATCATTTAGCTCCAAATCAATTTGAAATTGGCTTCGCAGATGGAATGTGCTTTGTCACACACAGTGCGGCTCGCGAGCCGCGGTTTGCCGAGCCACAGTTTGCCGACCTAGAGGAACCAACCCTTTTATACAAGTTGCTGCTGTAAGCATCCTGGTATTCTACATAGTCTATATTTACATTTTTCCAGCATTTCAATGGCATTCCACTCTTCCTTCTCCTCCCCACCTAAACAGTCCCAGATCTGAGGAAAGAAAGTTTGCCATTTTTCTTTACCACTTTATATCCCCACAGCAAAAATGATTACACCTCACCCCGACTCTTTCAGAACAGTTTGCCTCTGATTCCCCGCGTTGAGAGCAAACACTCTGCCAAGCACCTCGTAATTGCAAAGTGACCTTGACATGTGTCATTCACCAGGGCTTTCAAATAAAAGTCTTCCTGTTTAATATTCATAAAGTATTTCCCCTAACAGCATATGTGATGATTTTACAGGGGCTGGGGGTGGGGGAGCTTTATTTAGAGATGGCTGATTCTGAGAAACATACCATCAGTGTCTCTCTGATGAGCTGAAGCATCGGTTTGGAGGTAAGAAAATTTCGTTTGACATTCTTCAAGGGAGGACAGTGATGTGGTGGATTCTGACAGTTTTTTCTCAGTGGAAGTTTCCTTGGCTGGCCCATCTGTGATGTTGAATTCGGATCCTGAATTTATAACGATAGCATTAATGGGTTTCTCTTCTGCATGTTTTTCATTTGTGAGTTGCATATCTAGACGAAAAAAGAAAAACACACACACAACACAAACTCACTATAGTAGACACAATGTAGTGATTCTAAGAATGGACATTTGCAGAAAATCTCACATTCTAGACTTTTATAAGAAAAAAGTCTTTTTAAAAATAATTGGTAGTTATAAAATAGTCATAGGGTTGTAAAATACAGCACAGGGAATACGGTCAATAATGTAATAACTACTTATGATGCCAGGTGGGTCCTGGAAGTATTGGGGGGCCACTTGGTACAGTACATGATTGTCTAACCACTATGCTGCACACCTGAAACTAATGCAAAATAATATTGAATATAAACTGTAACTGAACATTTTTTAAAAAACAAAACAAACAATAAAAAAGAATGAAGCATTTTGGAGCAGGAAATTTTGTATGAAAACGCAAGTAAGAATAAAAGAGTGCAATAATTATAAAATTTTACACACATTCTAAGTTTTAGCTATCATCGTAATTTGCAACATTTCTACTGTGGGGTTTTTTACTGATGGGTGGGAAGAAGCAAGGAGCCCATTCACTTGGATCAGCCAGATCTTGCACTATGTCGCCAGAGCGCTGTGCTGCCAGCATTTTGTGGGTCTGAGAAGTAGTCAGGGGTCTTCAGTGCTGAGCAGTACGTCTCAGGGAGAGCACGTGATCTCAACCAAGTGCCTTCCTTCCTCTGTTTCTACAAATGCTGTGTAAGGATAGTGTTAACAATCAATAGTCCCTAACTCGACTCTCTTTCTGCCCTCACACACGCCACGTTTCCACCCTGTCCTTCACGGGAAGGTCTTGTTAGGCCTCTGCTCAGGTCTGGTCTGTGTGGCTCTGGGCAGGGGTGCTCTTGAGCACATGCTGTGTTTTCATAGAGTCACCTGCACAATTAGTAGCGATGCTCAGAGACCCTTTAGCAGAGTCCATGATTGAGATGGTGGTTGCAGAGGCATAGAGAGTGCTGAGCGGCCCGGTGCTTCATGTGTTCAATGCCTGCATTTGTTCATTCATCACCACATCCTGAGTGAGGGTCAGCGCTGCATCAGTAAGTGGGCTGGGCACTGGGATACAGTGGTGACTAGGCCGGGCATCGCTACTGGCTTTCACAAGCATCCAGCAAGTTAGCAAAGATAACTAAGAAGCTATAATATTGAGGAGAGTATGAGAAGGAAGCCATGAATGAAGTCATATTATAGAGAGAACCAGCCTGGGTAATGGTGCAGTTAACTTTTTACTTATCTACACTCATTAAACTGGGGAGTCCTAAGACTAAGAAAAGAATTAACGTAAGAATTCTCAAACACGGGGCCAGGCTGACTCCCGGGGACACCTTGAGGGCTCAGCAAGCGATGGTCCTGGCGGTTTGATGGTACTTCGGGGGGTGGTGAAGATTACCTCTGGAGAATCGCAGCCCACTGCTGGCCCAAGGCCTGCTTGATTTAGCAATGCTCACTGAGTGGCTGAAATAAATAACACGCTGGACAACTGGGTTTGATTTGCCATGCTCACACAGCTCAGTGCAAGAAATACGGGATCTTCTGGCCGAGTCCATGGTCATCATCCTTTCAAAAGCGACTTCTTCCTGTGGGGCAGATGGAAACCTCTGCGTGGACCTACCCCCTCAGGCGGTGATTCCCAGACGAGTCTTCAGAGTAGAATTCACCTGGGAAACCCTTTAAAAATTTGGCATTTTTTAAAAAGCTCAGGCCACTCCTCCTCTTCACTCCACCCAACATGTTAGATCACAGTCCCTGGGGGATTTTTGAAGCTCCAAGTGCAGACAGATTTGAGAACAATTGCCACAGGGGCCCTCGGCGTTGGAGAGTGGAGAAGGGAAGAGAACAAGCCAGTGTTGTGTGCATGAGCGACCTTCAGAAACCAGTCATCACCGGTTGCTCTCCAAGGTCCCGTAACAGAAGGGGAGCTAACAGTGTGGTACACACACAATTGTCTTAGGCCATTTTTATTTCCTTCTGATCCTCCAAATAGTGTTGGCTTTCAACAACATTTAACTTTTATTCCCAACCCTTATGCTGCTGGCTTTATATCTCTTAGTGGCAGTTTGATTCATCCTAAAAAGGATTGGCAGAAATAAGGGTTCAGGAAAAACAACTATTGTTGATAGTAATTAATAAATTATTGAAGAGATAGAATTAGCTCAACAGATTGAGAACCTCTTGGCTTCCTCTAACCCAAGAGAGATTCACCAAATTGGTGATATAAAGATGATGATGCTAAAAATAATTTCTTTTTCTTAACTTGGGTACCAAAATGTCCAGTAACCAGCTAATATCACAAAAGTAGCCGTGTAAATTATTAGTCCTTTGAGCATGTAGAACACATGATGTTTTGGGCCAGATGACTGTTCATGACGGGGAGATTGCAGGAAGTTTAGCAGCATCCCTGTCCTCTACCTGCTTGATGCCAGTAGCACCCATCACCCTGGGTTGGGACGAACAAAAATGTCTCTAGATATTGCCAAGTATTCCCTGTGGGGCAAATCACCCAGGTTGCAAACCACATCACTGCTTACACACAACACACACAGTCACGTCCATTATGTCAAGCTCTCTGTTACCACTTATACAGAGTGGGGCAAAAGTAGGTTTACAGTTGTAAGTATGTGGAAGTTTATTCTTGTATTATTATTTATTCCTTATTGTAGTATTTTCCATATGAACAACTATAAACCTACTTTTGCTTCACCCTGTATACCTTACTTAACAAAAACTCTAGGAGGTCAATATTGTCAGCCTCTCTGAACAGGTGGCAAAAGTATGAATTGGTGTCTCCAGTTAACGGCTGAATGAATGTAACTAAGGCTCAGATAGTTTATAAATTGTCCGAAGATTCTTCCTTAGCAAATGGTGGAACTGGGATTTGAACCCAGGCCTGGTGGATTCCAAAGCTTTGCTTTGATTTGTTTGTAGCTTTTGTCTCGCTTCCTAGCTGTAAAGACTGCACATCAGCAAAACCCTCCTCACCTGAGTCCAATGGTATGTCATGACCCCAAAAGAAGCCCTGCAAACAGCCTACTGACACGCCTCTCCCAGAACAGCCTTAGCAGCGCCAGGCTGGCTCCCAGCGCACGGGAGTCCTGCCCGCAGGCACAGCGGCTTTCCAAGGCGCAGGGAGGGCAGCTCAGAAAGAGCTAATAGGTAAGGGGACTTGGTAAGTACGGAGCGTGCAGCAGCGCTTCACTTACAGATGAAATTAACCATCAGTTCAAATGATCACACGTAGTCAGGCTGCATGGAATTCAAATTGCTTTCGCACAAAGTAATTCAGTAACAAAGAAAAGTTGGCTAGAGGTTACTGAGATATAGGAACATGCAGAGAAGACGGTATATAGCCAAGTGGTACACGATTCTCTTTTTAATTTTGTGGCAATTTTAAGTACAGCAACCATTTGGAGGTACTGGGCTTGTACTGAGAGAATTTTATGGAGAACTTAAACTGCCATTCATAAAGTTATTTTAATTCTATATCTCTGTTTATATTTTTATTTTTTTCATTTCCTAGTGGGAGCTATCTGTTGCTCATTAGAAAGTCATCTGACACACACACGTGTCAGAACCCAGTCTGTTCAGCCCAGAATCTGACATATGAAGGGAGGCACAATTTCTGGGTGAATGTAAATGACATCTTCTGTCTTTTATAGAAGCAATGCTAACAATAATTTCCCCACATTTCGTCTTTCATGATGATATTTGACATTGTACACAAAGTATTATAAAGTAGCATAAGCTAAAAGGAGAATCACATCAAAATGATATCACATCTTCTGCAGAGAAAACTATTTTGGAATTAAATAAGGAACATGTGAAACTATATTTGGGATGTTATAGATAGATCTTGACATTAATGTAAGAAAAATAATTTTTTGCAACAGAAAAAACCACCAACATTAGGACAAAAATTAGAAGCTCAACTGTGTTTCTTAGGGGAAAAAAATTAATTGTATCTTAAAAGTCAGTAAAATAGAAAATTTATGTTTGGGCTAGAAGCAATTTCAGAACCAATGGGCATGCACTTAAATATCAGAAAAGACAGACAGTTAATTAATTTTTTATTACCATTGAGCAAATGCTATTAATTTAATTCAATTAACATTTATTGAGTAGCCACATGCAATAGATGAATCAATGTGACAGGAACAATTCACTTATTTACTTTAAGTTATTAAGGAAACATTTTAATCCTTTTTATTTTTGTTCACTAAATGTGACTTTTTAATTTTTGCATCCACCTGTTCGCTGAGCGTGTATATCTATACACACAAATTAATAATAAGTAGCATCTCTCCGCCCTGCTCCTCTCATTCTGCTCTTGTTTATCCCTTCCCTTCTTTGCCCTTCTCTCTCTGTTTGGGTTTAGTTTTTTGACTAACCTGCCTTGTCTTTGTTATTGGTTGCTTTTTTCCCTCCAGCTCTTCAATGTATTTGTTTCTCAAGACTTTGTCTCCTTAGTTTCTTTCTTTGCACCTACCCTTGCTACTTGTTCACACTCACAGCTTCATTTTCTTTGTAAAGTTGACCCCAAATCTCTGTGCAGTGGGTCAGCCAGTAGCCGGGCCCCACAGGGAGCACAGCTGTGCTCGGCCTGGGCCTGGTGCTGAGGATTTGAAGAGCTCCAACAGCCTTGGTCCGCAAGAGGCCTACAGGCATCACAGGCTGCAGGCCCACTTGTAACTGATGATTGGGTATTTTATTTGACTTACTAGCCAAACCCTTGCAATTATTATGTCTCTTTCTACTAAGTCCCTCATTCTTTCCCCAAATCGAGTAGCTCCAGTTTCCTAGGCTTAAAAATACCCTTTGGTTTGCCCCATCCCTCCATTCAGCTCTTTACAGTCTTATTTATCCTTCCTTCTAAACATCTCACAAGTCCATCTCTGCTTTTTCATTCCCCAAACTACCACTCAGGTTTCAGCGTCTGTGCTCTCAGATCTGGACTGTTTCAGCAGTCATTGACAAGCCTCCTTAAGACATCTATGCACTGTAA